TTACGAAACGGTCTAAATGAATGATATACCGAACGTATTTCCTCTTGATATGTGTAACTCTTTGTAACTGAATGAATATATATCTTTTGTATTCTGATAACCTTCACGATAAGATCTGTTAGGTTTACATGCATATTTTATGTATTAATAAATGTATTATTGTGTATTAGTACCTGTGTGTGTGCGTTGTTTGAGTTATACCGCATGGTTGGATTCTAAGGCCATTAAAAGAATCAATTTTGTGACTTACTGCTACAATTAATAATTGTCCCAGTAAATGCCCAAACCCCTACAGAACTGGTGCCTCGTGAGAGCACACTACAGTGTTATTTAAATTTGTATTGGCAAAACAGGATTAAATAGTCTTGCTTATTGCTTAACATTTGAAGTCTTTATCAATAGTGCAGATTTTAATAGCCTAGAAATAAATGTCTGATGAACATCAAGATACTTATCACTGTTTGCATGCTAGCATGTTTTTAGGAAATTAAAACAGAAGGATTTTGGATATTGATTAAATGTTTTTTGGCATCATTTCATTAAATTGGTTATTCACTACTAACTGTGGCACCACTTGAGTGATTTTGACTCTTTCATAAGCACTCGTCGAGGTGATAGATTGGATTGGATAAGAGTGACTAAGTGATTTAAACTGTTGAATGTCAAGGCTTGTGAAAATCTAAAATGATACTGTAGATGCATAAAAGATCACATATGCCCCTTTTATCAAGAGAAAAACACTTTTGTGTAATGGGAATGTACACTGTATGGAGAAAAATTTGGAGGTCTCACCTGCTCTAGACAGGCACATACATGCAGAACAATGTGCTAACTGACCATTTGACTGGGAGGCCAAAGTCTGAAGCTGAGCTTTGTCCAAGACTGCCTAGATGCTACAGGATTCCAGTTATCAAGAGCATGTCTTCATGCAAGGGCAGTGCGGCTGGCAGAGGAAATACTACTCCATTGGGTCCCTGAGCAAGACCCTTAACCCCAACTGCTCCAGGAGCGCCGTATAAATGGCTGACCCTGTGCCCTGACCCCAAGCTTCTACTTCCTGTCTGTGTATCTCACGCAAAGCAAGTTGGGGTATGCAAAAAGACAAATTCCTAATACAAGAAATTGTGTATGGCCAATGCAGTGATCTTATCTTATGTAGCTCCTATTACACTGCCTTTCTTGTGTTATTAGAATGTGACAGTCATGCAGTGAATGACCAGTTCGCCAGACTTGAGCCCCAGTTAACATCGCTAGGATGAAGTCCAGAACTCAGTGACCGGTGAACAGGCACAGGCCTGTCCAGCCTCTACAAGACAAATGGGACATAATCCCACAGACGAGCTTTTCTGATAACTGAGTGTATTGCAGATGTACAGTTTACATAAGCTAGTAGCCTGTACTACTAGCATCCACAAGGTATTGATCAATCTTGTTTAAAATAAACGTTATCAGCATATTTAGATACTATTTAAATTTTGATTGAAAATATGTTCTTTTGGTAGCAGATCAGTAAAAGTAGGATAACTTCAAATTTAAAGATGCCAAAGACAGCAAGACATTTACTGCTTTCAGTTCTTTTCTGCCCTTAGTTACCACTAATTAAAACAATAGCTATGTCGAGCTAGGGAGATGCTGCTAGGGCAAAGATGGGGTGGAGGGAGGGATGTGAAAGCGAAATGCACAAGTGTGAGACAAATAAACATGGCAGATACTGGAAAGAGAACATTTTCTAAAGAAGTGTTTCTAAAGGAGTGTCCAGATAAGCGCTATATACAGTAAGTGTAAGCAATTATTATTAATTATTAATTATAAAACCAGTCAGTACAATTCTGTGGCACAACATGGTACCCCATCAACTCCAGCTGTGAAAATAAATTCAAGAACCAGGTTTTGAATACAAATAGATTCATGTTAGCACTATCAATTGCTATGTAATATTGATACAAGAAAAACAAAAATCAATATCCCAAAGTGAGTTTCATTAAGCTGTTATGGTCCTGAATATTAGATAGTCATATACTAGAGAATCAGTGTAATATTTCCTACATGGGAACAAGTAATAGGTTATTCCATGCTGAAAAGAGAAGAACTAAAACATAACGTTTCAGCCATGGTGCCTTCTTCAGGTGTGAGGAAGACAGGGCAGTAAGCAAAGGTAATGTAGCGGGAGAACAAAGGCTGGGAGAGAGGAGGAGCGAGAGGTGTGAAGTCAAGATAGGTGAAGAGAGGTGTGAAACGAAACCTACAATGAATAGAGAGAATTTAGAAGAAAAGTAGTCTGTCGTTAAGAGAAGGGGGAATGTGTGATCCTAGCTGCAGGATAATTCTGGTTTCTGTAGTCTTTCCGATGTACGAGTTCGGAAAACAGTCTTTGAGAATACAGACGGAGAGATTAGAGTGGTCATGGCCGTCTGAGGTGAAATGAGAAACAATAGGCTTGGAGAGATCTTTAATCTTCACTAATTGACCAGAATAAAAACAATTTAAAAATGGTAGGTTTCATTTCACACCTCTCTACACCGATGAAAACACACAGATGAAAAATGTGTTATGTTTATGTCTTACTTTAGCTATTGACAAGAACTAAGAAATCTTTTTGTCCTTGAAATAAGTTTGTGTCTCATGGGGAATACCTGAAGAGCCGGTGATATCCATCGCCTTGAGGTTTCTGCATTTAATGACTGTCAAGGTCATTCTCCCAGCAGTCGGAAGGTAGCACAAAGAATACATGATTTCCCCCAGATCAACACTTTCCTGGAAGAAATAATATAAAGTTAATATTGAAAACGATATCATACTGTATATTTTCTTTTATATGAAACTAAATTTGTGTTGTTTTCCTTTATGAAGTGTTCAGTTTTCTATTAAACAAACTTGTATTGCAGTAATTGGTATTGACCCTGATGAGTGTGATAGAAGGGTGAAATGTGCAGAGCATATTTAGCCTGACTCACCTACAGTAGCTGAGGGAATACAGCCCACCCCTGAGGATAAGCTACCAGGACCCCTGTCACTATTCTGGGGACTGAGCTGGGGAACTGCTGCAAGGGTGTAGATGGGAAGGTTGGAAAGACCCGAGAGAGATACCCCAAAAGGGGAAAAGGGAATCCTGGGTGCGAGTCTTACTTAAATAAATTGCTAGGTACCGTATTTTGAATCAAAATAAATTTGTATGTTAGCACTTGTAATGGCTACATAATATTGTCATATGTAAAATACAAATCAGTATCATAAACTGGATTTCATAATGTCTTAAGCCTTATATTTGTACTATCTGTGTTATATTTTCCTGTGGTCATTTTTCTATGAAACCAACTTGTATTAAGTCCTTAGAAAGCATAATTTGAATAATTCAACTTAAGACAAATTAAGCATCCGGTTAAGGTATGCATGCATTTCAAGAACTGTTAAAGAAGCAGATTTTTTGGAGTTATTGGAAAATGTAAGGTAAAAGGGTGTACACTTTATCAAAGATTGATCATCATCTCCACACCATGAAAAGACTGGCAAGCTAGTATTGTTTGTTTATAGTAGAGATGTAAAGGAACAAGTAATAGGTCTATTCCATGCTGAAAAGAGAAGAAAAGAAACAACGTTTTGGCTGTGGAGTCTTCTTCGGGTCATGACAGAAAACTTTGTTTCGTTTCTTCTCTTTTCAGTATTGAATAAACCTTTACTTGCTCCTTTGCAGCCTACGCATGCTGACACAGCTACATACTTTAACATTTTATAGTAGAGATGATGTTTTGGATGTAAAATACTATTCTTGACAAATTAGATGGCCCTGTTGCAAGTAGTATGAAGTAATCTGAGGGCTTGAGTGATTCTGGGAAGGAAGCAAGTGAGGCAAGGTTATTGATGCTGTAACTAAAGCTTGCAACTGATTAGACTTGCAATGCAATTACATTCTCCCTGAAAGTACACACTTCTGGGAATATACATTGATAAAGTAAGCAAGAAACAACAGAATTCCAGCACTTGGTATATTACTTTTAAAGTACAAGGCATGCTGTATTCCACAAATTAAAACAAAGTGCAAATTAATTTACAAACCAAAGCAGACTTTGCTACAAGACATATTCCCTTTCTTAGCTTAATCTTTTACTAACATTATTCTGTTCTATTAACAACAATATTATGATGAAACAAGTCAAGTCAAGATTGTAGCTGTAACGAAAGCATTCTTTCCGGACCCTATGCAGACGACACGATCCAGGGTTGAGTGAGAAAACACGGGGAAAAAAGGCATGCAGGGTACGGGAATGAAGACGGGGGGCATGTCCATGGTGTGCTGGTGGTCGGGGGAGGTGTGGCCAAGGCGAACAGTCCAGAGAGGAATCAAAAAGGGGAATCCACGACGGAGCAAAAGTCCAAAGCCGGGTGGTCCATCCAAGATGGATAAAAACAGGAACCGGGTCGGCACCGGCACGGGAACGGGAACGGGAACAGGATCAAATACAGGAACTTAAAACCTTAACGGGGCCAGGCGCTTCCAGGTCCCGGACTCGCCTGGTATGGAAACCAGAGCAGAGCCTGGAATGGAGTGAGCGCCTGGCTTTTAAGGAGAACTGAAAAGAGGGTTGGAACAGGGAGCAGGTGCGGTGGATGAGTAGAAAACAAGGAAGGGCTGGAGCGTCCTTAAGAGGAGGGGTTTACGAACGTGACAGTAGCCTGAGCTACAATCTACATTTTATCTTTCAGAGTATTACTGAATTTAAGTGATACTATAGGTTGAGCATCATTTTCGGTCCATTATACTGTATATACTGATGGAAAAAAGAAACGCAATATTATCTGGAATTAGAATACTATAGTTATAGCTTATGTACTTTCACAAAAAGTTGTCAATTTGTTTTAAGCCCTCTGACCAGCTTGTGCAGTGAGGCATTGCAACTTGCCAATCACACGCAAGCTCGTTAGGTGCACTTTTACCCAACGAGGTCCAGGTGGATCAATACCTGATCAGGTCATCTTTAAAAAGGCCTTAATTCAAAGGTTAGGTCACTGCAAGACAAATGTCACCAGAAGCAAGGGAGAGGGCCACTGGCATGCTGCAGGCAGGCATGTCATGTGCCAGTGTTGGCAGACACTATGGAGTAAGCCGCTCCACTGTGTCCCGACTGCAGAGAAGGTTTCAGCAGACCGGCAGGACAGATGACCGTCCAAGACCCGGTTGCCCTCGAGTGACCACACCAGAGCAGGACTGACCCATCAGACTGGTCCATCTGAGAGATCGTTTCAGACCTGCCACCTGTACTGCTGCTGAAACTGCCGGCAGACACAATGCCCACATCAGTGGCAGGACAGTGACAGGTGGCTTAGACTGAGTTTAGTAATAGAAATAGCGATAGCTGGTGTCAGGCTGTGTAGGGTACAGTTGGTTTGGTTTGTCGTACAAAGAAGAACTTCGCATTCTCCTACTACATAATTTTGATTTTCCATGTGAGCAGGCTTCACAAGCTACCTGAGTCCCTATAGCTCCAGCTGTAGAGGTTGCAAAGCTGCCAACTCATCTCACACGCCCAGATCTAGGAATGCTTTTTTTGGAAAATCACAAAACTGATTTCATTCTAACGCAAAATTTTCACACAGAACCTTTTATTTCTTTCATGCCGTAAAACAACATCTTGAATAACAGCTGTTATGTTGTGCTCTATAATACTAACTTCAAATATTGAATTTTCCTTTAAACTTACCCTTTTCAGTTTCATGACAAAAAAAAATCTTAGCTCCTAATTCTAGACATACAGCAATGTTAAAATAATCTATAAATTATAATAATAAATAATGGTCAGAGAAAAATAAATCATACTTTACAAATCCGTTTACTTTCCATCTGTAACTGTATAAAATGAAGTATTAAAAACATGACTGACTGATTTACTCCAACACTGATCTGCTGCATTTGTCATGCCACTCAGTACAGTATATAATCCATACCAAATGTGAACCCAATTCACAAATCCTTGACTGAAAAACTGGATTTGATTTCTGTCGTGTTTGAACATCTTATACAAATGCAGTGTCCCTGCCAAAAAATAAGCTATTTTTACTACATACTGTAAATATGTACAGTCTGTAACATACCTTAGGCACAATGCTGAGGAGAAGCCTGTGGCACTATACACTATGATGATCAAGATCTTAAGCAGTGTGTAGGGCCAGATGTTAATATACAAGTAGGTACGGATGATGTTCATAGCTTGAGTATCCTTCTTACAACTGGGGAAACAGTATTTGGCATATTTGACTTTTAGATTAAGTGCAATATTTTATATTTCTGTTCATTTATTATAAAGTATTAATTTGAGCTTTTTAACTTAGAATATATTGTAATATTTGCACACATTTTCTGAAGTAGTTGCAAACCCTTTAAAAAAATACATTATTTTCAAAGTTGGAAATTCCATTAGTAATAAGTAATAGGAAGATAACTAAAACCTAGGACAATACTTATGTTCAACTATAGAAAACAGAAAATAAGATATGGAGTCAACTGCTCTGCTAAAGCAACCTCTTTTATGATCGGTGTATTGTTTTTTTTCCAAGAAACACACTGCTCTCAAAATCTCTGAAACTTTCCTTTTGTCAGAAGAGCACTACTGTATGTCTGTAGTACACACAGTTATCCTGAAAGCTACTACACAACCAAGCCCAATATCAGTGAAAAAAACTGAACTGAACTGAAACCAGAACAAAAGGTGATCATGTCAAGCCCAGCTTATGGAAATAAAATATCAGTTGTGGGCTTTCTAATAGGCTTTGCATTACAGACGCTCCTCAAGATATGTATGACTTGACGTACACAAATCCCACTTTACATAAAATCTCTCATACTGTAGATCACAAACTTTTGATACTGAATTAAAAAACTTTTGAGATAGTGGTTTCACGCCGCGGCTGGTTGCTGCAAACTACCGAGGTGGAAAGGACTGATTGAGACCTCGCTGCAGGACTCAGATTTCTCCGTGGTGCTCTGGAAGGACCTGAGAGAGGAGATAAATTGGCTGGCAAAGGCAGACAAGCAGGGAAGCAGACTGCCAAGACAGGACGGAAAAGGAAAGCCTGGCGAGTTGAGACTGACGGGGGGAAGCTCGCTACTGGATCAGCGCTGACAGCAGTTGATGATTAGGAAGCCAAAGTTGGATGAAATCACTGAGATTAAGGGTTTCAATGAAAGCAGGTTTCCTAGAGCAGGCTTGTGACTGCACTACCCTAGGTAGCTCAATTGCAGAGCAGTGATCCAGTGCGCTCTCGGGGATTAAGTGTAGTTCCTGATTGGACAGCTGATTGGATGACTGGGTGATTGACTGAAGGGGAGAAAGGACGAACGACAGGCAGCCGACCTGGTCCCCGCGGGCTCAGGAGGAATGCGAACGCTCGTGGAAATCCCACGTTCTCCAATGGCAGCCACGGCCTGCAAACCTCTCCCAGTCCGAGCGTGAAAACGGAACGTTTGTTAGATACGTACAGTAACTGTAACGAACAGTTCTTTCCGGACCTTATGCGGACGACACAATCCGAAGAAGTGGGGAAAGACTAGGAAAACGTCATGCAGGAATACGGGGCTGAAAACAGGGGGGGCGTGTCCAAAGTGCGCTGGTACACGGGGGAGGTGTGGCCGAGGCAAACAATCCAAGAGAGTAATCCTTAGAAGGTATCCAAAAACACAAGAGTAAGTCCAAAGCCAGGAGATCCATCAAAACAAGGAATTAAAAACCATGAACCGGGTTGGAACCGGCGGACTAGGAACA